CACCCCCAGGGTCAGTACCCCCATGCTCAGCACCCCCAGGCTCAGTACCCCCAGGCACAGCACCCCCAAGCTCAGCACCCCCAGACTCAGTAACCCCAGGCTCAGCACCCCTAGGCTCAGCACCCCCAGGCTTAGCACCTCCAGAATCCGCACCCCCAGGCTCAGCACCCGCAGGCGTAGCACCTCCAGTCTCAGCACCCCCAGGCTCAGCTCCCGCAACAGCACCAGAGTCACCAGTGACCTCGACAGGCTCGACCGCGTCTACCTGGGACACACCTGAAGGGGCAGGACCCTGAGGGGGGAGGGGGTCTACCGGGGGGGGACCTGGTACCAAGAAGAGCGGGGGCGGGGGGAGGGACGGAGTGCGGTAGGGGAAGAGGCGGTAGTAGGGTACCGACTTGTCGAACGTGACGTCCTGGGAGGACAGAACACGTCGAGAGGTGGGGTGGTAGAACTGCCACCCAGGGGCGTCGGGGGGGAACCCCAGGAAGACGCAGGGAGCAGCGCGAGGGGACAGCTTGTCCGCAGACAAGTCGCGGACAAACGCCCGAGATCCCCAGACCCGGAACGCCGACGCATCGCCAACCTTCCCCGTCCACAGCAGCGCTGGGGAGGTCTCCGGCCTGGAGACCCTGGGGTGGAGGTTGATCTGATGCGCTGCGTACCTGACCGCAAACGGCCACAGAAAATGGGGGGCAGCCGCATGCATCATGGACGTACGAGCGACGTCCATGACCATGCCAATGCGGCGCTCTGCAATCCCATTTTGCTGCGGGGAGTCCGGAAGCGTGAAGGTCTGGCGGATGCCTCGCGCACGACAGTAGGCACGCAGAAGGCCAGAGGAGAACTCTCCGCCTCTGTCCGAGTGCAGACGCAACACAGGAAAGTCCGAGCCAAAGCTCTGCCTGAGCTGGAGACGAGCTGCGCGGATCCAGTCGATCAGCACCTCAGTGACATCACCCTTGCTGCGCAAGGGGAAGACTGTGGTGTAACGCGAGTAGTCGTCAACCACCAGCAGGAAGTAGCGCTCGTGACCGAGTCCACGGACGCGGGCAGGGCCCCACACGTCCATGTGAAGCGTCTGCAACGGAGCCTCTGTCGGAGGAAACTGGGAGGAGTGAGGGGCAGCACGCTGGCGCCCCTCGACACAGGGGACACAGGCAGGGCCAGGGCCCTGAGGAAGGGGAGGTAGAGACCGGGGGAGACCAGACACAAGAAGACGGGAGGCCATGCCTCTGAGCCGAAGCAGAGAGGGGTGGCCAAGACGGTGGTGCCAGAGGAGGGTCTCGTGAGACAGACGGCGACACGAACAGGGGGCAGACTCAGGACCAGACCTGGACGCTGCAGCAAACACCTGACCAGACGAAGGGACTCTACCAGACTCAGCACCTGGAGGAGAAGCAGTGGTCAGTGTGTACAGGCTTGACCCTGGCTGACGTGTAAACGTAGCCAGGTGACGACCCGTGCTAGCCTCCGTGCAGTGCGTCACTCGCTGACTAGCAGGGGTGAACTGGTGGACTCCCACATCCTGTAGGTCAGCACCACTCACCAAGTTCGTAGAGAACGAGGGGAGGTAGAGACCAGACAGGGTGCCAGAGGGAGCCGCCGGACACGGGAGGACCGTGGAGAAGCGAGCCAGGACAGGACCCCCAGAGGGGTCAGCCAGGGAAACCGCAACCGGCCGACTAAGCGGCGTAAGTGTGGTGCGGTCCCGAAAGAAAGAGCGAGACGCCCCAGAGTCAAGAGTGAAGGTGTGGGAGGCCGAAGCCGACGCAGTACCTGAGAGCGCAGACGCACTAGTACCTGAGAGAGCAGTCTCACGAGCACCTGAGAGCACAGACGCACTGGCACCTAGAGCAGAAGCCTCACCGGCACCTGGAGCAGCAGTACCAATGCCCGGGTCGGGCGGGAAACACCGGTAACAGTCACCCTCCTCACTAATGGTCACAGCATACATGGCAGCAAGGATAGCATCAAAATCAAGATCAAAGATAGCTACACCAGCCCTAGACAGCTCTCCCCAGCGGGGGATCTCCGCGGCCTCCGGGAACTGCTGACGCCAAGCGTCCGTCAGGCGGCCAAAGCAGCGCTGGGCGGAGTGGGCACCCCCACACTGCTCTCCAGTGCGGTCGCCAGTGTGGAGAACGTAGGTGCAGGGACCAAAACCCCCACCGCGCTGACGCTGCGTGTACCACTCACGGAGCTGCTGAGGGGTGGGGACGTCGCGAGAACGCTGCTGCTGCTGCTGCTGCTGCTGCTGGCGCTGACCGCCACCAGTGCCGCTCCGCTGCGAAGCTCCACTCCGACCACCTCCACCTCCGCCACCCCCGCCTCCGCCTCCACCGCCCCCGCCTCCACCTCCACCGCCACCACCTCCGCCACCTCCGCTACCACCGCCACCGCCGCCACCACTCCCGCCTCCACTGCTGCCACTAGCACCCCCACCCCCGCTACCACCTCCACCGCCACCCCCACTCCCTCCGCCGCCTCCACCTCCACCGCCACCGCCCCCACTGGCCCCACCCGCTCCCTTGCCCCCCTTGCCCTTGCCAGAGCGGCGTCTCCCGCTAGGGGCAGACGCCGCACCGACCGACTGAAGACCAACGAGGTCGGCCGCAGCGGCAGAGGCGACAGAGGGCAGGAGAGGGGAAGGAGAACACCCCTCAAAGATGGGGGCGCGGGGGTCACCTCGAGAGGCTCCTACAGCAACTAGCGTCAAAAGCGAGGACACTGGGTGTAGCCATGACGATGACAGTGGAGCAGTGCAAGCAGTAGGGGAAGGGTACGCAGTGACAGCAGTGCAGTGCTCATAGGGCAGGGCAGGTCGGGCGGCTCGGGAGGAAGGTCGCCTGGCGAAACGGCCGCTAAGCTGCTGGGCGGCTCGGCTCCCGGGCGGCTCGGCTGCTGCTGGGCGGCTCGGCTGCTGCTTGGCGGCTCGGCGGCTGCTGGCGGCGCGGCTGCTGCTGGGCGGCTCGGCGGCTCCGGGCGGCTCGGCTGCTGCTGGGCGGCTCGGCTACTGCTGGGCAGCTCGGCGGCTCCTGGGCGGCTCGGCTGCTCCGGGCGGCTCGGCTGCTGCAGGTGGGCGGCTCGGCTGCTGCAGTCGGGCGGCGCGAGTGCAAGGGGCGGCGGGGCCGTTAGTGCTGGGGCGGCGGGGCCGCGAGACCAGGGGCGGCGGGGCCGCGTAACAGGGGCGGCGGGACCGGGAGCGCTGGGGCGGCGGGGCCGCGGGATCAGGGGCGGTGGGGCCGTGAGCGCTGGGGCGGCGGGGCCGTGAGATCAGGGACGGCGGGGCCGCGGGCGCTGGGGCGGCGGGGCCGCGTATCAGGGGCGGCGGGGCCAGGAGCGCTGGGGCGGCGGGGCCGCGTAACAGGGGCGGCGGGGCCGGGAGCGCTGGGTGGGGCGGCGGGGCCGCGAGATCAGGGGCGGCGGGGCCGTGAGCGCTGGGGCGGCGGGGCCGTGAGATCAGGGACGGCGGGGCCGCGGGCGCTGGGGCGGCGGGGCCGCGTATCAGGGGCGGCGGGGCCGCGAGATCAGGGACGGCGGGGACCGCGAGTGCTTGGGCGGCGGGGCCGCGTATCAGGGACGGCGGGGGCCGCAAGCGCGTGGGCGGCGGGGCCGCGAGAGAAGAGGCGGCGGGGCCGCGTTCACTGGGTGGCGGGGCCGCGAGGGTAAGGCCGGCCGCTAGGGCGGCTTGGGGAAGGAGTGGCCCGAGGCGCGACTCGGGATGAGTGGGCTTCGGGCAGAAAAAAAAAGATTTCGAGTGGTGGGCCCTAGGCACAGTTCCCACAGGGGAACCTGCTCTATACCATGTGGAGAACTGAACGAGAATGAATGAACTATGAATGAAGTGAGTACAAATATGAAACCCTAATTGGGTTGTACCCCCTATGGGATACCCCACTATAGCCTACACAAATAAGTAAGCTATAATGTTCTGACACCGTCCCCGTATTATTAGAGATAGACCAAAGGCGCTTCCACCTTCCCCCGATCTTCCAGCAGCCGCCGTAGCGATGAGGCGCTCCAAGCTTCTCTTGGTCCTGCTCGCACTCTCCCTCGTCGTATCCCTCGCGCTGATTCAGCCGTGCCGCGCGAAAGAGATTGATGCTGAGGACGACGCCGACGATGATTTCTCGGATGACGTCAGCGTGGATTCCGCCGCGTCGCCTCCTGGTACGTGGGGAGGCTCCAACCTGTCCCTTTAGAATATTCTCACTTTCGGTTTTCCCCTTGCCGCTTTGGCCGGCTAGGACGCTATAAGTTTCGTAGCGAATTTCTTTTCTAACCACGGTTTTCTGCCGCTTTCCCGACGACAGATCTCCTGAGCAAGCTTTTCGGCAGGACCAGGAGGTTCCTATGGTCCTCTGAGACGCACCGCATGGTGTCGTGCAAGTCGGATTGCGAGGCGAAGAATAAGAAGTGCAACACGGATTACAGCAAGTGCAAGCGGGAGAACAAGGACGACGAGCACGACCACCACAAGTGTACGCACAAGTACAAGCGGTGCAAGAAGAAGGCCAAGAAGTGCCGCTCTAAATGCGACTAAGTCAGCACAAGGACGAGTGTGATTGGGTTGAGTTTGTGTCACATAATCTGGAAATAGGGGCGACTTGGGTGGGCTGATCTGGAATCGTTACATGAAAATACCCACTTCTGGGACTTCGAAAATGTTTTGTTAACGAGTCAAAGTTCATCTCCACTCAGAGGTGGAGGGGGGTGGACGAGGGGAGAAGGGGGAAGGGGAGTGAAGGAGGGGAGGAGAGGATTAGGAGGGGTTGAAAGTGATGAGCTGAAATTCAGTTACGCTTGCTAATCATGTCAGTAGTTGTGGGCTGGCAAGTGAGGGAGATCTGCATAAGTGGGGAATGTGGGCTGATAGTAGTGCCGGTAAGATGCTGAAACTGATTGCAGAAAGCGGGTGAATCATAGTTGAAGCATACCTGGGATGAGTGAGCTTTCTATGATTCACCAACTATGATTCACCAACTATGAATCATCAACTATGATTCACCCGCTTTCTTCAGCTCACTCATCTCCCCTGGCAGCGCCTGCAGCTTCGCACAGCCCGACAAGCTCAGAGATTTGAGTCGCGTAAGCCGCGCAAAGTTGGGACACAGGGAGCGGATGGAGCTGTGCGGAATTGCCAGCTCGTTCAGGCAGGTAAGGCAGGTGAGAGAGGCAGGCAGCTGCTCAAGCTGCTCGCAGAAAAGGAGTTGCAGCTGCCGAAGCCGACACAAGGCACCGATGCCATCTGGGAGAGAGGCCAGTTGGGACGCATAGTGAACCTCCAAGCTCGTGAGGTTCTCAAGAGCTGTGACACTCGCTAGCAGCTCCCTCAACTCGTCCGCGCAAAGCTTCAGCTTCCGCAGCTGCGGCAACACCGTCCCCATATCGGGCGGCAGCCTTTGGACGTGTCCCGCGCCCTGAACAATCAGGGTGCGCAGCCGAGAAAGAAACGTCAGAGCAAAGGGAAGCTCCTCGGCATCGTTTGCCAACGTGAGCCTTAAATGCTCCAGATGAGACAGGCTTCTGCTCACAGCTTTCCCACACGCCACAGACACCCTGTTCAGGCAAAGTGTCCGAAGCCCCGTCAGCCTGGAGAGATCGGGCAGAGCCATGGCATGACTGAAGCTTCCTCAGCTGAGCACTTCAAGCGAGGCCGGCAGGACCTGAGGAGGGTGCTTCAGCGCGTCACACCAAGTCACCACCAGCTGCTTGAGCCTTGTAAGGCCGTCCAACCCAGTGGGCACGAAGGCGAGCTCTCTGCAGCCGGAGAGTGTGAGAGTTTCGAGGCGAGTCAGGCACGTCACCGACGCTGGAAGGGCCGTGAGATGCGAGCAGCAGGAGACGTGCAGCTCCCGCAGGTTGCTCAGCTCTCCCACGCCCTCTGGAAGCGCTTCCACGTGGCACAGCTCCAGCTCCAGCCTTGTCAGCGAGGAGATCTCGGTTAAGGAGGACGGGAGATGGCGCTGATGAGAGCTCTCTCTCACAAGAAGCGTCTGGAGGTTACACAGCCGTCCTATGTCTACTGGAAGCGCCACTCGTCCGAGGCAAAGGGTCTTGAGAGCTGTGAGGCAGCCGAACCCTGCTGGCAGCTCGTGGATTGGCTCGCACCAGAGCAGAAAGAAGGTCTCCAAGGCGCTGAGCTGGCAGAGGGAGTCAGGGAGGCTTGACAGCGGCAGCTTCTCCAGAACCAGAGTTTTCAGGGCAGATAATCTCCCAACGTTTTCGGGCAGGCAGCGAAACTCGAGGCAACTGTAGATTGACAGGGACTCGAGGCGGTTCAGGGAAGTGAAACCCTCGGGAAGCTCCTGCAAGAGCTCGCAGCTGCAAATGGTGAGCTCACGAAGACGCGGCAGCAGCTCTGCAATGTCGTCCGGAAGTCGCTCCAATTCTCGGCAACCTGATAACTCCAGCTATTCCAGGGTCGTGCACGGCCAGCTCGGAAGCAACATTTGGCTGGTGATCAGCGCCGACTTTATTAATGGTAACTGTGCGATGGTGAACTCAGCCGAGCCTGGGTCGTCAGGATAAAAGCTCGTCCGGGTAGAGACGGAGAGGGTGGTAATGCTGGGAAGGCGACGCACATTCGAGAGCTGCTCAATGCTCAACTCCACGGAGGCGATATGGAGAGTGGTGAGAGCGGTGAGGCTTTCCAGATCTGGATCTTCTAAGGCGGAGGCGGTTGTTAAGGCGAGGGTGTGTAGGCGTGTTAGGTGGAAGAAAGAAGGCGGTAGCTCCACGTCCAAATGGAGGCAGAGGAGTGAAAGCTGCTCCAGCTGAGAGCATTGCTTGAAGAACCGATCCAGGCCCGCTTCGGTGATCGGGTGCTGATGCTTCCATCCGGCGTAGCCCGGATCGTGCGTGATTTCGCTTCCTACGTGGAGGATTCTCAGGTTGGGACATGACGATGCGAGGTGAGATAGGAAGTTGTCGTCTAGGGTTTCAACGCTGCCGTCGCACAGATGGAGGTGGGTGAGGTTCGGGAAGCGAGCGACGGCGTGCGAGAGTTCTTGGAGGGAAATGACGCGATTTCGTTCCACGAGGAGGGTGGAGACGTCTCGCTTCGCTAGAGCGCGCCAACGACGGCACACGGAGGAGAGGAGGGCGATCTTGGCAGCGCTTGGAACGGCGGAGGGAGTTGGAATTAGAGTCGTCTCTTCCTCGGGGCTGGAATCTTCGTCGATCGGGATTGAGCGAAGGTACTGTGGCTTCGGCCACAATAGATGGCGAGACCATAACGCGTCACTGTCGGAAAGCCAAGATGTGTTCTCCTCGCAGTGCCATAGTATCTTAGCGAGGACGTCGTTGGGAAGATCGTTGATATGCGTCGCCGACTGCATTTCCTGGGGCGCGATCATAGTAGCAAAGTTTGGAAAGCGAGATCCAGTGACTTTGAAGCCTAGACTGACTAAAAAGTTCAAACGAGACTAAACACGAGTGTGACGTGACAGCACGAGGGATAGAACGCGCGGGAAAGCAGTGGAAGTCGACACTAGAGGCGTGAAACGCGGTGGAAGCGGTGGAAGTAGTGTTGCTCTAAACAGACTCGGAGGAGGTATTTATCCAAGTGACCAGAGAAAGGAGTGCCGCATGGATAACTTGAATTCATGGCGTGCCGTGTTGTGGAAGGTGCTTCTGTGCAAGCATATCATCCGCTCAACAGTAGGGAGAATGGAAGCTCAGGTGTGGTGTGGCGGGGGAAGCCCCTCCCCTGACGAGCTGGGGGGACGAGCGAGAGGTGGCGGAGATGAGTTGAAGACCGAGTCCTGCGGAGTAGGGCAAATAGGTGCGCAGAAGCAGAATTGCTGCGGAGGTGCGTGTGAGGACTTCTGTCTGGTGTTCGCTTTCGCGTGCACTGTACGCGATGGGAACGGAGTTCCGTACCAAACATTTTCGCTGAATGGTAACGATGTTTTGCACCAATTCGCATGCCAGAAAACACCGCTGAACAAGGTGGTGCGAGGTTCTGGCGTCCGGCATTGGTTCCAGAGTTGCTGGGAACTTGTTTTTCGCAAGCTAGTGCGAGAAGATCATGACGAGGAGGCAGCGATGGCACGGCCATGGTGTCTCTTGTCGAAACACCATGTTACCGAGTGTCCGCAAGTGATTTGCCACAGACGCTAGCAAGCCCGTTATGCGAACTTGTTCAGAGCAACGTCAACAAACATATGTAGCGGCGAAATCGCGTGCGTCGGCGGAAATCGCGTTTCTCTCAAAAGAATCGACCTAAATTGCTCCGAACTCGCCACTTGGGCGTTTTCCTTAATTGGATGGACCGTGTTTGCCCCCGGCCCCCCAACCCGATTTTCCCGCCCTTCCCGTCCGAAATTCGGGGCAGCCGTGTGTACTCCCGTGAAGTCACAAACAGTCACGAATTCAAAATACTAGACGATTTGATTCTTCATTGTTGAATGACAGTCAGTTGTGCCATCAGCCGTTGTAGTACCTTTTTACTATATTTCTCATTTTCGTAGAAGATATAACCAGTAGTGATATATCCTGAAATTACTAATAGATGGAGCCTAACAAGTTAATAAAATATGATTTTGAATGAGATAATAATCAGTAATATGGATTTTATTAATTTTATGCCACTGAAGTAACAATCATTTTTAGAAGAATAAAAATATGAGGTTAATACTTTTGTCTAGATTATATAAAGCAGTAAAGTCATACAAAGTATCTACCTGATTAAAAAATAGTTAAAATTGATTTGACTTAGAGTGAATATTACTATGAATGATTTAGATTTTTATTTTATGTCTCCCAAAATCAGCTTTACGTGTAGATATCAACAGACATAAAAAGCTCTAGGTAATTTGTCATGTGTTTTCTTGCGCCCCTTTCTAATTGCATATTCTAATCCAAAAATACATGATACAATCAACGTGCATAAGAGTCTCTAGAGATTTAGAAGCAACCGCCGAAATTATCAAGACTCTGTTGCGAAAGCTGATGTGGCATGCCACAACTACACGAAGGATTTGGCCAAATCGTCTAGTACTTTGAATTCGTGACTGTTTGTAATTTCACGGGAGTACACACGGCTGCCCCGAATTTCGGAGGGGAAGGGCGGGAAAATCGGGTTGGGGGGCCGGGGGCAAACGTGGTCCATCCAATTCAGAAAAACGCCCACGTGGCGAGTTCGGAGCAATTTAGGTCGATTCTTTTGAGAGAAACGCGATTTCCGCCGATGCGTGCGATCTCGCCATATGTAGCATTTCAAAAAGTATGGACTTGAGTCCATGTTCTTGGCCAGAACAAAACAAAAGCACACACTAGAAAAGCAGACTCGCAGCTCACGAGGTCTTTAGTGCAGGATTAACTCCTCTTGCAAACGTAGTTGTTAGCGAGACACGAGTGATTCTATGGATGCTGTTCGGTATTTTTCCCGTAGTACCCAGTCTCTCGCTTGCATCAACTCGCACATCCTGCATGCGAAGCTTCCTAGACGAGTATCGGAAGTAAGCTTTCGAGCTCTTTTCCCTTTTCTACGCTTCCCTTTCAACGACCTATTTAGCTTCATCTCATTACTCCTGGTTTTTTTTCTTCTTATCTGAATGCTTGTCCCCACTCCATTCCGATCCTCATCGTTTCGGCCGTTTTTTAACGTGCTGAACACTGTTTATTCCGTAGCGCATCTCTCAGCTCGCTAACCAGTTTGCGCCTCAGCTCTCAGCCCCGTTGTTGGCCTCCCTCACATGCTTTCCGTTTCGTTCCTCCATTTCTCCTTCCTGCTCCTGCCCTCATCTGCTTCGCCCGCTCTACGCAAGCCTTCTCTTCTCGCATGTGACTACGATGCTTGTCCGCGAGTCCGTCTTCTTGCAACTCCCCTCCTCCTCCTTCCCTCATCGCTCTTTCCCAATCCCCCCGCATCAACACTCCGACCCTTTTCATACCCGCATGCGATGCTAACTCGGTCGCCAACGTCGCCAACCTACAGCCGTCGCAGGGCCAGCAGGGGAGCGCAGGGTGGCGGAGAAAGTCGGGCGACTACTGCATTCCTCTCCTCCCCTCCTTCCCCTCGCCCGTCCTTTCCTTCCCTCCTTCCCTACATCTCTCCTTTCCTCCCCTCCTCGCCTCAGGTCTCCCCGTCTCGCATTCAAGTGCGAAGCGCGGCCGCGGATTCGTCAAGCGGCCACGGCAGGGCGAGCAGGGAGGCGCAGGCCGCCAAGGAGGCCATGGAGATGCTGTGGCGCTCGCACAGCGGGGGCGGTGCTGCTGACGGGCTGAATCAAAGCGGGGTGAACCACAGCGGAGGAGTGAGCCATGGTGGGATGCAGCAGGCTCACGCGCAGCCGCTGTCCATGCCTGGCGGGGGGTTTGAGTATGGCGAGGAGGAGGGGGAGGGTGCGGGCCCAGGGGGGTTCACCCCAGAGAGCGTGCGATCGTTGCTGGAGGCTCTTGAACTGGAGGCGGCAGAGGAGTCGAAACACGCGCTCAGGTGAGGAGCAAGCACGGGCTGAGCTGAGCCGCACGCAGGGTGGCGTGGGTATGGGGAAGAGGAGGGGGAGGGTGCGGGCCCAATCGGATTCACCCCGGAGAGTGTGTGGTCGCTGCTGGAGGCGGTTGAACTGGAGGCGGCAGAGGAGTCGAAACACGCGCTCGGGTGGGCAGCACGCCTTCAAGGGAGCAGTCAGCACAGCCTGAGACGAGCAGCACGGCATGAGGTGAGCCGGGAGGCTTTTTTCTCAGACATGGAATCGACACGACAGCCTGCCAAGTTGACTGTGTTCCTCTTCTCCCTCCCCCTTCTCATTGCAGCAGCATCGTGGACTGGGTGCTGTGGGCGCGCAAGAACAGCTACCAATCGTCCTCCTCCTTTTGCCTCCCCTCCCCTTCTATCTCCACCCCCCTTTATCCCCCCCATGGCAGCATGGTGGACCGTATGCTGGGGTTGGACCGTATGCTGGGGGTGGACCGTATGCTGGGGGTGGACCGTATGCTGGGGGTGGACAAGAGCAGAGATAGCCACCCTAACCTTTCCCCTCCCTTCCTCATGGCAGCATCGTGGACCGCGTGCTGTGGGTGGACAAGCGAGTGCGCGACTACATGACGCCCAACCCCATCTGCCTGCACCGTGACATGTCGCTCCGCGACGCCGCTCAGGTGACACAGGGAGGGGCGGGTCAGGTGAGGGATAGGCGGGTCAGGGGAGGGATAGGCGGGTCAGGGGAGGGATAGGCGGGTCAGGGGAGGGATAGGCGGGTCAGGGGAGGGATAGGCGGGTCAGGGGAGGGATAGGCTGGTCAGGGGAGGGATAGGCGGGTCAGGGGAGGGATAGGCGGGTCAGGGGAGGGATAGGCGGGTCAGGGGAGGGATAGGCTGGTCAGGGGAGGGATAGGCGGGTCAGGGGAGGGATAGGCGGGTCAGGGGAGGGATAGGCGGGTCAGGGGAGGGATAGGCAGGTCAGGGGAGGGATAGGTGGGTCAGGGGAGGGATAGGTGGGTCAGGGGAGGGATAGGCGGGTCAGGTGAGGGATAGGTGGGTCAGGTGAGGGATAGGCGGGTCAGGGGAGGGATAGGTGGGTCAGGTGAGTGTGAGAGGGGCGGGTCTGGTGAGGGTGAGAGGGGCGAATCAGAGTAAGTGGGACAAGAATGCTCCCCTCTCCCCTCTTCCCCCTCCCGTCTCCCTTCTCCCGCCTGCCCTCTACCCACTCGCCTCTCCCGTCTCCCTTCTCCACACTCCCTTCTCCCCTGTACCTTCTACCCACTCTCTGCTCCCCTCTTTCCTTGCTCCCCTCATGCCTACCATACTCAATCAGCAGGCTCCATCCGTAGAGGCGGAGGAGGAAGAGACTGCAACAGGGGGAGATCAAACATGCCTCCCCTCTTCCCTCGTCCCTTTTCTGTCCTCTCTCCTATCTCCGCTCTCCTCTCCTTTCCGCCCCTCTCCTTCATCGCATCAGCATACATCTGTGGTGGAGGCAGAGGAAGAGAAGAATGCCACAGGAAGATCTCTAAACTTCATCCCTCCTCACCCTCTCCCTCTCCCCTTCTCGTCCTGCCCACTCCCGCTTCTCTCCCATCGGCCTTCGTCACATGCAGATTTCCTGCACCATCGCATCATTGGGGCTCCAGTGGTGTAGGCGGAGGAGCAGGGGAGTGCTCCCAAGGTTGGTCAAACATGCCTCCCCTCTCCCCTCCTCCTCCTCCCCACTCCTTTGCTCACTCGCAGATCTTCCTGCGCCATCGCATCAGCGGGGCGCCAGTGGTGGAGGAGGCGGATGCAGAGGTTGACGGGGTGGGGCTGGGCAAGGTGGTGGGTGTGCTGTCTCAGCGCGACATCATGTGGAAGGAGCTCCGGACGCATGGCATGGTGGGTGCCATATGCGTGTGCCATTCTCGAGAGTTCTAAAATAGAGTGTGACAGTGTGGGGCTGGGCATGCTGGTATGTGTGCTCTCTCAGCGCAATGTCATGTGGAAGGAGCTCAGGACGCATGGTGGTAGGTGGTGTGGAGTCTGCATCCTTCCACGTAATTTTCAATGCATAGCATGGTGGTGGTGGTGGTGGTGGTGGTGGTGGTGGTGGTGGTGGTGGTGGTGGTGGTGGTGGTGGTGGTGGTGGTGGTGGTGGTGGTGGTGGTGGTGGTGGGTGTGGTGTGGGTGTGGGTGTGGGTGTGGGTGTGGGTGTGGGTGTGGGTGTGGGTGTGGGTGTGGGTGTGGGTGTGGGTGTGGGTGTGGGTGTGGGTGTGGGTGTGGGTGTGGGTGTGGATGTGGGTGTGGGTGTGGGTGTGGGTGTGGGTGTGGTTGTGGTGGTGGTGGTGTGGTGTGCATCGCAAGCATGCTACGGTGGTGACCAACTTATCATGCAATGCTGGAAGTTGGAGCTCTGGAGTCAGCCTGAACTGCCATACTACCCCTTCCTTCACACGCGCTAGCAGCCAAATGCTCCCATTGCCGGCGAAGGAATGTCAGTGGAGTCTGGCGAATCACCAGACCGGACCACCTCAGTTAGGGTTTCAACTTTTGGGGCGCCTCAAAAGTGGAGCCTGGCGAATCACCAAACTAGGACCACCCCAGTTAGGTTTTCACGCTCCTTGCCGTCTTCAAGCCTTCCCCGTGCCGGCCATACTCCCTTCTCCAGGCGGAGTAGGAGTTATCGAAAGCGACTGCCGTGTTTGATTTTGCGGCGCCTTGCGAACCACCAGGACCATCTTAACCAGGGTTTCACACCCCCTCCCGTCTTCAACCCCCCTCATGTCCCTCATGTCCCTCATGCCCCTCATGCCCCTCATGCCCCTCATGCCCCTCATGCCCCTCATGCCCCTCATGCCCCTCATGCCCCTCATGCCCCTCATGCCCCTCATGCCACCATGCCACCATGCCCCTCATGCCACCATGCCACCACGTTCCGTCCACTGTAGGCGGAGGAGGAGTTTCTACGGCGCCTGGCCAACTACCAGGACCACCTCAACCAGGGGCCTCGGGTGGACAAGCTGCGCCAGCACCTCAGAAAGGCTGCCTCGCTACGGGTCAGTGGATTGGGATGGGTGGAGAGGAAGTTGAGTGGGTGGGACTGGGTGGTGGTGAGGTGAGTGAGGGAGTGAGAACTGATGTCAGGGACCTCCGAAAGGCCGTTTTACTGCGGGTGAGTGGTGTGGGATGGGTTGGAGAGGGGGTTGAGTGGTTCAGAGTGGTGGGAGATTGGGTGGTGGGAGTGAGGGAATGAGAGCTACGAGCAGCAGGAGTGAGGACCATCTGAACCAGGGCCCGCAAATGGACAAGCCGCTGTAGCACCTCGGGAAGGCTGCTTCGCTGCGGGTCAGTGGATTGCGTTGGAGCAGGAAAGGGGGGTGAGTGGGATGAGGTGGAGAGTGAGGTGAGGGTGATTGGAGTGTGGCGCTGACGCGGGGTGAGTGAGTGAATGAGAGTGATTGAACCCATTCTTGGCTCAAATAGCCAACTCGATTCCATTTGGCACGTGGTGGACACTTATGGAACGTGAGTCTCATCTGCCATGCGCCTCATCTGCCATGCGCCTCATCTGCCATGCGCCTCATCTGCCATGCCCGGGTGTGTGCACGCTTGTGGGCTCTGGTGGTACCCTGTCGTGTGCCCTGATGTGTGCAATGCAACCCCCATCTCCCCCTGCTCACCTCCTCATCTACACCCTGCTGCAAGCAGGTGGCGGAGTTGGTGACAGACACGGTGCTGCAGGTGCAGCAGCTGGTGGTTTGTCAAACACTCATGCTTCCCCCCCCTTCCGCCCTCAAACCCTCCCCCACCCCTCTCCTCATGTGCTGTAGTGTGTGCAGGAGGACCCTGTGGCTGTGGCTCGTCAGGCCCGCCTGCTCTTGAACCACCCCTGCGGCCCGCCCACCCCCCTTCTCGTCCCCCCTCCCCATGCATCCTGGTGCGCCCAGGTGGAGGAGCGTTTGGCTTTTTTGACTCCCACGTGCCTTCATGTGAATCGCATGCCCTCTCATTTGCTCACAGGTACAAGAGTCGATGACAGACACGGTGCTGCAGGTGGAGCTGCCTGTGGCTAATCAGACTCTCATGCTCTCAAATCCTCTCTCACCCCCCCACTCCCCTTTCATCGCCCCATGCATGCCCTCTCATCTGCTCACAGGTGGAGGAGTCGATGACGGACACGGTGCTGCAGGTGGAGGAGGACTCGTTCATGGTGGACGCCACTGAGATCATGCTCAACTGCAATGTGCGTACAGTGCAGTTCATGTTGCTCGTGTACAGTACATCATGCTTATTTTCAACCATGCTTATATTTAATATGGGTGATGCTCATGGTGGACGCCACTGAGATCATGCTCAACTGCTCAATGTGAGTCATGGCCAATGGTGATGCACAATGAAGCATGCTTACGTGAAAATCGTCATGTGAGGCATAGTGTTGAAACATGCTTTCTGTGTGCGTCATTCATAATCTCGTAGCAAGTGGTGCGTCAGTGTATCTCATAGCTGTCATGTGATTCTTCAGGATTCGGCATCGCTCTGGTTGTCTTGCATTATTCACACATCCTGTCCCTGTCTCATGGTGCACCGCGTGTGCACCGCGTGTGCACCGCGTGTGCACCGCGTGTGCACCCTATGCACTTCCCTCTCCTGTGCTCATGCCTGCTCTCTGCACTTGCTGCTTCCTCCCTCCCCCCTGCATGCCCTGCATGCGCCATACTCCATGCGGCACACCACAGGTGTCTCGCCTGCCTGTGGTGGCGCGGCTCCCGGATGGTCGCAGGACTCTCACAGGCATCATCACATGCAGCGACATTCTGCGGCACACGCTGCTGCTGCTCTAGAAGTGGATTTGAGTCGACTCAGAGTACATTGTAAAGCACACGTTGCAGCTGCCACGAAACCGCATACACTCATATTTTCGAATCACTGGCATACTCTCACCGGCATCATCACATGCAGCGACATTCTATGCCACATGCTGCAGCTGCTGCTACTGCTGCTGCTGCTGCTCCAGAGGTGACTCTTAGAGCGAGCCTTCTACAGACATTCCACATCACACACTGCCGCTGTTGCTGCTGCAGCAGCAGCATGTGCTGCCATGGGAGAGGCTGCCCACACTCATTCTCCACCACACCCCCGGTCCACATCCACCCACACTCCCTATTCATCGCCACACTCTCGTCGTCACATCGTTACCTGCAGCAGCGACATACCAAGGCACATTGCTGCTGCTGCTGCTGCTGCTGCTGCTCTAGAGGCATGTGCTGCCATGCAACATCTGCCTGGCTATGTGCCACCACACTCTCATCCGCATCGTCAGCTGTGACGGCATTGTCTGTCGCCCGCCACTACCGCTGCTGCTGTAGAAACAAGCACTGCCAAGGATAACTTTTGAGTCGACTCAAAAGTCAACAAGCACTGCCATGGATAAACTCCAGCTATTTCGGTCTTCGTAATGGCCACCACCACACATCAGCGTCGTCAGTTGCATCTACGACCTCCTCAGTCGCTCGCTACGCTACTGCCCTACATACTCGCTCCTATTGCTGCTGTACGGCGCCTCAAAAGTTAGTAGTGACATTTTCAGTCGCATGCTACTGCCGCGGCTGCTTTACTTCCTCTTCTTGCCTCTCATGACTCTCACTGGTGCTAATCTTCTCACCTCACACTCTGCTGCTGCTGCTGCTGCTGCTGTAGACAACTTCTTGCTGCCTCAAGCAAGCACCTCTAGTCACCTGTTTAAGTGTGTATTATATTACCTGCGTGTATCTACTTATGGAAAGCAGACGTGCTGAGTTATAGGAATCTGTAAGTTGGACAGCACACTTACTACTTTGCTCGAAAGACCTGTTACAGTGCTTTCAGTTGATTTTTGCTCTAGAATTTAGTCTGGAAGAAAAGGTATAGCATTCTTGCACTGATGTATTTGTTTTCATGTTCTGTAGAATAACGAATCGCCTTACGAAACAGACGCGCATCGCCGCTGATTTCACAACCCCCCCCTCCCCTCATCGTCAACCCCAGTTCGCCATTCCGCATTCACACTATCTGGTAACCACACTGGTAGTCAGAGCCATTCGCACATTCGGACAGCACAACTAGCTCCTTCGCCATGATCCAGCCTGCTGCAGCTGCAGCCGCTTCCGCCATCTCCTCCGCTTCCGCCACTTCCGCGCGCCCTTCCGCCCTTAGCGCCTACCGCACGTTGCTCCGCGCGATCCGCAAATCCTTCCCCGGGGACCAGCACGCGCAGTCCGCAGGGCGCGCGGAGGTGCGCGGGCACTTCGAGGGGAACCGCGGGGAGGCGGACGAGCGGCGGCTGGCGGAGCTGGAGAGGGACGCGCGGGACGCGGCGGAGATGCTCCGGACGATGGTGGTGCAGGCGCGGCTGAACGAACGGGGGAACTTCGGTGAGGGAAAGGGGGCAGCGATGGGGGGAGCGATGGGGGAGTGATGGGAGGAGCGACGGGGGAGTGATGGGGGGGGCGATGAGGGGGGGGCGATGGGGGGGACGATGGGGGGAGTGATGGGGGGAGTGATGGGGGGGGCGATGGGGGGAGAGATGGGGGAAGCGATGGGGAGCAGTTGGGGGAAGGATAGGAGTTTCAGGAGGAAAGGGGTGGATATCACTGTACTGGGCGGTTCATGGGGAGAGGGCAGTTGAGGGGGGAAAGTGGTGCACGGCACGCTGGTGGTGCACGGCACGCTGGTGGTGCAATCACGGCACGCTGGTGGTGCAAGCACGGCACGCTGGTGGTGCACGGCACGCTGGTGGTGCAAGCACGGCTCAACGACCGGAGGAAATTCGGTGAGCCCTTGGGGGAGCGATGGGGGGGACGATGGGGGGAACGAGGAGGGCGATTGGGAAAAATATGGAGTTCCAAGGGGAAAAGGGTGGATGTCACTGATTTGCATAGTTGAGGGGGGAAGGGCGGTTGAGGGGGGAAGGGCGGTTGAGGGGGGAAGGGCGGTTGAGGAGGGAAGGGCGGTTGAGGAGGGAAGGGCGGTTGAGGAGGGAAGGGCGGTTGAGGAGGGAAGGGCGGTTGAGGAGGGAAGGGCGGTTGAGGAGGGAAGGGCGGTTGAGGAGGGAAGGGCGGTTGAGGAGGGAAGGGCGGTTGAGGAGGGAAGGGCGGTTGAGGAGGGAAGGGCGGTTGAGGAGGGAAGGGCGGTTGAGGAGGGAAGGGCGGTTGAGGAGGGAAGGGCGGTTGAGGAGGGAAGGGCGGTTGAGGAGGGAAGGGCGGTTGAGGAGGGAAGGGCGGTTGAGGAGAGAAGGGCGGTTGAGGAGGGAAGGGCGGTTGAGGGGGGAAGGTGGTGCGCAGCGCATGATGGGGTGGCAGACACGAGTGATGGGGTGGGGGAATCGTGGCGCACCCAGTGGACCAGGGGGCGAACGGGGGAGGGGAGGAGGAGGGAGAGGGGGGCGAAGAGATGGCTATAGGCTGAGGGAAGAGGGAGAGGGGAGGAAGTAGGTGCGGAAGGGGGGAGGAAGTGACGGGCGGAGCAGCGGGTCAAGGAGGCACGATCGTAATCGTGATGGCAAACGGTTGAGGGCATGAACGGGTTGAGGGGGATGGATGGGTTGAGGGGGATGGATGGGTTGAGGGGGGTGAACGGGTTGAGGAGATAAACGGGTTGAGGAGATGAACGGGTTGAGGAGATGAACGGGTTGAGGAGATGAACGGGTTGAGGAGATGAACGGGTTGAGGAGATGAACGGGTTGAGGAGATGAACAGGTTGAGGAGATGAACGGGTTGAGGAGATGAACGGGTTGAGGAGATGAACGGGTTGAGGAGATGAACGGGTTGAGGAGATGAAGGGGTTGAGGAGATGAAGGGGTTGAGGAGATGAAGGGGTTGAGGAGATGAAGGGGTTGAGGAGAGTTATAGATGAAGGGGGGTGCGGAAAACGGGCTGAGGTGGGCATGCTGGTGATAATGGGGCGAGGGGATTGTGATAAAAAGGGATTGTGACCAAAAGGGATTGTGATCAAAAGGGATTGTGATCAAAAGGGATTGTGATCAAAGGGGATTGTGATCAAAAGGGATTGTGACCAAAAGGGATTGTGATCAAAGGGGTGAAGTGAAGCAAGCAGGGGGAGTTGGGATCGCGGGAATGGGGCGAGGGTAGAGGGAGGAGGGGTGTGGGTAGGAGGAGGCGGAGGCTTGGTGTGGGGGAAGAGAGAACGACGGGGGGAGATGTGGAGCAGGGGATGGGGGATAAGGGAAGAGAGGGGTGGTTGAGAGGAAGAGAGGGAGGTGTCAATGGGGAGAAAAGGGCTGAGAGGGATGAGGGGGATTGGAGAGGGGGGGGGCGACTGGCCTTGGGCATCTGCCTGTGCTGGGCCCACCCACCGCATGTGCCACAGTGGCGGGTCAGGGCATGGTGGATGGGAGGGGGTGGTCTGGAGAGGCGCGCAGAATGGGGAATGGGTGGGGAGGCGGGATGAAGCAAGGGAATTCTGTCCGTGCATGCCATCTTGTCTGCCCTCGCATCTGCCCTCGCGTCTGCCCTCTTGTCTGCCCGTGGGCAGGGGGGACATGGGGCAGGGGGAAGGGGTTGCGGGAGGGCCAAATTTTGGGAATAGGGTGAGGGCGGTGTGGTGAGGTTTGAGATTGTGAGGAATTGTGTTTTGAGACTTTTCAAAACACTACTTCATACACGTGGCTTTCCTTTGTGAATAGGGTGAGGGCGGTGTGGTGAGGTTTGAGATTGTGAGGAATTGTGTTTTGAGACTTTTCAAAACACTAATTCATACACGTGGCTTTCCTTTGTGAATAGGGTGAGGGCAGTGTGGTGAGGTTTGAGATTGTGAGGAATTGTGTTTTGAGACTTTTCAAAACACTACTTCATACACGTGGCTTTCCTTTGTGAATAGGGTGAGGGCGGTGTGGTGAGGTTTGAGATTGTGAGGAATTGTGTTTTGAGACTTTTCAAAACACTACTTCATACACGTGGCTTTCCTTTGTGAATAGGGTGAGGGCGGTGTGGTGAGGTTTGAGATTGTGAGGAATTGTGTTTTGAGACTTTTCAAAACACTAATTCATACACGTGGCTTTCCTTTGTGAATAGGGTGAGGGCGGTGTGGTGAGGTTTGAGATTGTGAGGAATTGTGTTTTGAGACTTTTCAAAACACTACTTCATACACGTGGCTTTCCTTTGTGAATAGGGTGAGGGCGGTGTGGTGAGGTTTGAGATTGTGAGGAATTGTGTTTTGAGACTTCTCAAAATACTACTTCATACACGTGGCTATTCTTTGTGAATAGGGTGAGGGCGGTGTGGTGAGGTTTGAGACTGTGAGGAATTGTGTGGAGACCAGGGGGAAAGAGGAGGCGAGGTGGGGGGTATCTTGGGGATGGGTGGGGATCATGGGGTGGTGCACCCTTGCCTGCTGTTTCATTCTGTGTGCCGCACCCACCATCCCTCTTTGCACATGTCTTCTCTTCGCTTCTGTTTCAAGAAAATGCAACCACACTTCCCTGACGTCCTGACCCCTTCCCTCTCAACCTCATCCTCCACCTTTTCGCCCCTCCCTGTGTCCGCCCCCTCCCTGCCTGCCCCTCCCCATGTCCGCCCTACCCTGGTCAACCCCTCCCCTCTCTGTCCTGCTCCGCCTGCCCTTGGCCAATGAGGCGATGCAGAAGTGCAGATAGCACCAGAGCATGTGGGGGGCGTTGTGGAGCCACAAATACCCAAGCGATGATGCAGAATTTTGCGAGTCTAATGCTGTGTAGTGTAGCTGCTTTGAAGGCAATATAAAGAAATAGAAAATAAATATTAGTTTTAGTTTGCTACTTTTGCTTGCGCCACATCTCCACAGCCTCGGGCGGGCCACTCTCTGTCTT